ACTAGTGCTCTAGTGGACACTTGCTTTTATACCAGAATCATCACTCTGATCTTCATTGTGTAGTGACTACAACTCACCACACACAACAGGAACTTTCTTTTTTTTAATTTTTATTTATTTTTTATTGTGAAAATACTGTACAGAGGGGTTACAATTACATGGGCAAGATAATAAGTACATTTCTTATCAAGCATTGTAGCCTCCTCCTTTGTTTCCCCTTAGGAACTTTCAACCCAAGTAACCAACCAGAAGAAGGGAGAAAGAAAAGACAGAAAAATACAGGATAAAGAGAATCAATGCAGAGAGCCAGAAAGAACTTCCCATAGAAGAGGCATTACAAAGGATTTCAGGAGAGGGAGGCTGGGTGAAGATAGCACAAGAAGATAACAGAGAACTTCCAAAAGCAGGTATCTGCTCATGGGGCACTGGAGTTCATAAAGTTTTATTTAGTGCTGATGGGAAAGTTAAAGTATAGTTAGTAACCTGCCTTTGTTTACAGAGGTAGGGGCTACAGAGAGGTTGTTTCTTGCCAGATGTTATATAACCAATTTGGAACAATATGTGCAGCAGTAGCCACTCCAAAGACAATTTTGAGAGAAATCCTAAAGGCATGGGCAGGCTGAAATTCTGTAGTTGTTTTTATTTTTCGAGACCAGAGGTCTGCAGATCCTCAGAGTCCCAACCTAGGCCTGGCTGCTACACATGAGGAGAACAGGAAGAAGACAGAAATGCACCTTTTGGTGCATTTAGACATAGATTTATTTTACACTGCAAAAGCTTAAAAATTAAAATATGCCCAGTGCCTCCTTATTCAATCTGAGTTACAAAAAGTGATGTGACAGTATCAATGAATGGGAACTGCCCTTGCAATTCGGATCCAAAGTTTATAGTTCCCAAATCAGGATTTTAAAATCATCACAGGAAAGTGAGCAGCACTAAGTGAACTTATTACAGAGTAACTTACATTCCAGGAGGCTAAACATTAAAGAAGGTAAGAGAAAACCACATTCAGAACCAAAATATAATACTGGAGACTACAGGAAACTGTAATTAGGGGAGAGAAAAGCATGGAATAAAATCAAAGAATGCTAGAAAAGAATGCAGAAAAAGAATGAGGTGCTAGGGTAATGGTGACCAGAACTCATGAGTCTGAGGAAGAGGATTGAAAGTTTGAGACCAGTAAGACTAAGACCAGACTGAGGCTACCTAGCAACACCCTGTCTCAAGATAAAGTAAATAAATACTGTTTTCATGAATCTCTGAAAGATTCCTGACACTACAAACCAAATTCTAGGTTAGATCCATGGCTGCTCTTCCTTTTATTATAAAATCATGATTTTTCTCCTCCTTTTGCAGGGGCTAAGAAGTGGCAGCATATATAAGCGATGAAATTCTCGGGCCACACATTCCCGAGGAGCAATGCCTGGCTGGAAGGTGTGCATTTTAATTCCATCCCTTTTTCCTCAAATAAGGAAGCCAAGGCAATAGAGCCAAAAGGGTTTTTGACAGGGTAGCTCTCCTTCAATTTATACATACACATGGTCTATACATTGTTTCAGGAACCAAATGCTCATGGCCATACCTTACATCCTAAACCTATGCTTTTCATATACTGAGCAGAGACAAGTCTGCTCTGGGATCTTTCTTGGATTGGTGCATTTCAAAGTGGGTGGTACTGAGCTCCAGGGCTTCTCAGACTTCTTGGGGTTGTGGCTGCTAAATCCACATGTGATTAACACCCATCTTGTTCTCAAGACCCAGCAGCTCTGCCCTTTGTTTTATATACAGCTCTGAATGTATTATGTATCTACTAACAAACTAGACACAGTGGAAATGGTAGGTGAATACAAGCTAATAGCTGCATATAAGTTTACTATATAGAACTTAAGAGTTTAGTTTCACATATATATTAATTTTTATCCAATGATAAAAAGAATGAAATAATATTTTCAGGAAAATGGATGGAGGTCATCACTTCAAATAAGATAAAACATCTCAAAAAGGCAATTGCTGCATGTTTTCACACATATGTGGGATCTGTACCTAAAAGGGGCCTGTTTGGGGGGAGATCAGGGGGTAGAAAGAGGGGGGAAAGGAGAGGGTGCGAGGGGTGACTATTGTAGGAGTATCTTATACACTTACATTTATGACAAGGACACAATGAAACCCATCACAGACAATGCAAAGCATGAGGAGAAGGTATCTTAAGTACAACTTGGAGTGAATTTGATCAAACTGCACATGATATGCATGGTGCAAGCATCACAAAACCCTTTTGTACAAAGAATTTATTCTAGTACCTTTTTTAAAAATAGGGGATATGAGCATGCCTGCCCCTATGTTTTTGTTTCTCAGATGCTCTCTTTAGGGTAGAATTTTAAATGTGAACTTCTCAGGTCAAATATGTATTAAATAATTTTAAGTCTTGGTATCATAGGAGAGTTCATAGTACTTCAGTTTCCTGTTAGGCATGTTTAGGGGTGCTTGTTACACAAACTCCCAGTGACATCATTGAGAAAGCATTCCACCATGTGAAAAGCATCACCAAGACATTTAGTCATTTTGTTTATTACTCGCAAACTTGAATGTGTCCATATTTATTCACAGTTCTTAATTCTTCTGTAGATAATCTCTGATGACCTTTGTGTTTTTTTGTGGGGGATGATGTTGGTGTTTATCTTGCTGATAGAACTTACATTATATTTTCAGAGTAGTGCTCTAGTTCTTATTTGTTGCATACATGTTGCATACATGTCCTACTTGAGCTTCTAATTTTGCTTCTGCCTCTCTCTCCACTTTCTAAAGAATAGCTATTACTAAGCAACAACATTATTGTCAGTTGGAAATGCAGTTGTCTTCAGTACTATGTCTCCCAGTCTCTGGGAATGTTACACAAGTCTCACTGGGGAGGGCCTGGGTGCTTTGTTCATTCACCTAATCAATCTCCTAACACAAGGACATTTTGATCAGTCACTCTTCTATAGTGTGCTCCTCGTCTGTGTCCCCGCATCTTTCCACAGCTACATAGGCTGCACAGTGCACTCAAGACTGTCCACCAAGAAGACAAACAGATGAAACGGAACGTTTGTGTAATTCAGCCTTTCATGCGAAAGAAAAAGATAAACCCAAATGTAATCATAAAGGCAAAACAAGTAAACACAAGGCCTTTCGGGAGCATCCATGCAGGAATTTATTATTGCTATATGCTAGCAATTAGTAAACCTGGAACTCTCCGCGATTTCCACAAGGGACTCCCACAGCCTACAGCTACAAAGTAGTTCTCAGTGAGTTCCAGAAATCTTGGATTGGTCCTTTTTATGAGAAGAGAGTAGGAGAAAGGGTATTAGAGGAATTTACTATGTACATATGGTAGAACTACACGATATACATAATTCATACATTCTTACATTTTATAGATGTATGGGATAAGACAGAGAAACTGAGAGAAGGGGAGAGAGACTTTCCCTCCATTGTTGTAAGGGTTTGGGATATTTAATCATTCTCCATTCATAATTTTATAAAGTATTTCTCTATGTTTTCCTCTAGTCTTTGAAAAGATTTTCAGTTTGTACATTATGGAATCATTTAGAATTTATATAAAAAGGGGGGATAGAATAGGAAGGATATATTTTATTGTTTGAGAGACAAATTTTTCATCCCCACTCATTGACTAATACATGCCTTCTCTCGGGCTCTGAAACAAGTCTGGATTGATGCAAACTATTCCCCAAGTTCTATTATTTTTCCCTTCCTCACCTCAGCCTTTTGTCCTCTCCTTACAATCTCCTTATAAAATGATATATCTTAGTCTGATTGGAAATAGCCATTTTGATTTTTCAGTCCTTCTCCTAACCTCCAGGACCTGACTCAGACCCACAAGAACAAATGAGGCAAACAAACAAACAAACACACACACCCAAGCCCAAACACTGTTGTGGGGGGGGAGGTGGGGGGAAGAGCCAAAGGTTAAATTCTACACAAGCCCAACAGGAAATCCAGAGATAAGCTATCCAGTTTAATTAGGGAAGAGGAGATTTTATCTGCGTGTATATATATTGGAATGTTGCCTTTGAACTATAACTGGAGCAGAGTTGAATAATGCAGCAGCTACCTTGACCCTAAGAGGGAAGAATCTTTCATACATATGTCATGTTGTTGCAAAGGACACGTGTGTTATGTATACCGGTTCTTTATTTTATAGATGAAGAAACTTTATTTACAAAGCGGTGATTCCCTGAGGAGTTGGGTGGTTAAGATTTCCCGAGTCTAGCCTTCAAACCAGGTATGGCTTCATTTTCTTCCAACACGTGTTAACCGGTCTATGGGTCCACCTACGGTGCACATTTACTCTTCAAGTGAATGAACACTTTCTGGGGATATTTTTGGAGGGGGCAGAAGATGGAGATGCACCCCCAGCCGGTCTCCCATTTGCCTATGGTCAACCCACAGTGCACATTTATTCTTCAAGCGAATGAACATTGTTCTGGGGATGTTTCTGGAGGGGGCAGAAGATGGAGATGCACCCCCAGCAGGTCCCTCCGAGACCCAGCGAGCGCGGGCTGGTCCCTGGGGTAAGACCGATCTTAGACTTCCCAGGCGGCCCGCGAGCCCCGGAGCCCGGGGAGACCAGGCAGCCGGGGTGGCGGGCGCAGGACCACCATCAATGGAGTCTGTACGTGTCTGGATGGCTGGGAATTTTTTTTTAAAATTTGTCCCCTCTTTCTTCTAGAGACTTCCTTAGGCTCCGGGGATCTGCGGTCACTCACGGCCAGCCAGCGATGGGCCTGGCGCTGCGGGCGGATAACGGGTCCGGGCCGGCCCCCGGCGCGCGCCCGGCCTTCCGGACCGCGGAGAACAGATCGCGTTCCCCACCCCGCGTGGCCCACACGAGAGCGCGTGCTCCTGCACCCCTCGGCCACGCGGGCCGGGGCGAAGCGGGACACAGTCCCCCCTCCACCTCTGTTCCCCCCCCCCACTCCCCCACCCCGACGGCAGGCGGGCGCCCGGGGCCCCCGGCCCGAGCCTAACAATGCCGCCCTCGTGTCTGCGCTCTCGGTGTGCCGCGCTCCCGGCCCCCGCGCGCCTGCACGTACGTAGCCTTCACGTGTGAGTGAGTGTGTGTGTGTGTGTGTGTGTGTGTGTGGAGATGGGGTTCGGGTGTGTGCGCCCCGAACAACATGCTGAGACGAGTTAGGGGTGGCGGGGCCGGGCCGGGCCGGGCCGCGGGAAGGTAGGAGCGGGCCGCGCGCCGGCTCGCGGCCTGGGCGGGCGGCGCGGGTCTCCCGCGGGCGCGGCGGGGCGGCCCGGGCCCTGCTTCCCGGGCCCGGCGCGCGGGAGTCTCGCGCGCACACACAATAAAAGTCGGGGCGGGAGCGGAGCCGAAGCGGCGGCGGGGACCCCGCACGCCCCGGCGCCGCCGTGCGAGCGGCCGCCTCGCGGGGACGCCGACTTTCCCGGGGGCGGGGAGCGGCCCCGGCGTGTGCCCCTCCGGCCGGGGCCGAGGAGACGCGGTAAGTGCGCGGCGGGGCCTCCGCGCCCGCCCGCCCGCCGGCTCCGCCGCGTCCCCAACATGGCGCCCCTCGAGTCCGAGAGCCCTGCGCGCCGGGCCGGCGGCGGGGCCGGGCGGGGGGAGCCGGGAGGAGGGCGGAGGCCGGCGGGGAGGAGGCGGAGGCCGGCGGGGAGGAGGAGACGGCGGCCTGCGCGTCCCCCCCCCCGCCCCCCGCGCCCGTCGCCGGCTCAGGCCCGAGAGGCGCCGGGCGGCGGGAAGGAGGCGGCACCGGAGGGGAGGCCGGGCGCGGCGGCGGCGGCGGCGGAGCCGGAGCATAATGGTGGGGAAAGCTCGTCGGCGGCCGCGGCGGGGCGCGGGCGGCCGGGCGGGCGGGCTGCGGGGCGGGCGGCGGCGGCGGCGTTGGCGATGGCGCGGCCCGCGTCGTGGAGCTGCCCGGGTTGCGGCCTGGCGCGCGAGCGGCGGAGGCGGCGCCGGCCCCTCGCGCACTGCCCCGAGCCGGCCCGGTAGGCTCGTGGGCGGCGGGGCCCGCGTCGCCTCCGCCGCCACGGGCGGCCGCTGAGGTGGCTCCTAGACTGAGGCCCCCGGGAGGGCCGCGCGGGGCCTGCTCGGGCCGGGAAGCCGCGGCGTCGCGTGAGCACCGCCCGCCGGGTCCCGCGCTGTCCCCCTCGGCCAGGCCTGCGGAGAGAGGCCTGGGCGCGGTCCGGGGCCCGGGGCGTGGGGAAAGGCGGAGAGAAAGCGGTCGGCGTGGCGGCGCGGCGCGTGCGAGTGGTGAAGCTGCGGGGCTCCCGGGCCTCGTTCGCGGCCGCCTCCGGCGTATCCTCCCCGGGCCTGAGGGACGGCCCCCCCCGCGGGGCCCGCCGCCCTCCTCCGCCCTCTCCGGACCGGAGCTGCGGCTCGCGTGGGGAGGCGGGGGGGGGGGAAGTGGGGACTCCGGGACCCGAACTTTCCGGCCCACGCCGCGGGGCGTGCTTTGCGCGGCGCCCGCGCTCCCCAGTGTGGTGTGCGGGGTGTCGGCGTGGTGTACGCGGCGGAGTCGGGTGCGGGGTGCACGCAGGACCGGCTGTCCGGGCCGGCCCGCGCGGGGGGACGTGGCCCATGGCGGCCGGCGGCGTCAGACGGCCCGTGTCGGCCGCGTCTTTGTAGGCGGTGCAGGTCCCGAGCCGGGCTGCGGGGTCCGGGTCCCCACCGCGCCCACGGTGCCAGCGCTTTCCAGCTTCCCGCGGGGCGTGTGCACGGGGTCGGGGATGGTTCGCGCGGTGTGCACACAGCGGCCCGGATGCGCGTGGTGTCCAGTGGCACCGGCGGGGTTTACCGGGCGTCGCCGTCGCTCCCCGGTGCTGTACCCAGGGGTCCAGCGGGCTGTCTGCGCGTGCAGCCGCCACCGCTCACCTCTTTGTCGTGTGCCCCTGCTAGCTGGTGTGTCACCTGCGGGTGTGAATGTGGACGAAGTAGCTCCTTGGCCCAGACAGGACACCGCCCCCCCCCTCCCCAATCCACAGGTTTGTGTAAGGGAAGCACCTCCAACCCCGGGTGCGGGTCCCCGACCCCTGCTCTCCCACCCGGGAGCTCTGCTTTCGGTGTTGCATGGAGGCCAGCACATGGCCTGAAAGTCACAAAGTCAATTTTGACTTTTTTTTTTTTTTAATTTTTAAAACTATCACCGTCTTAGCTTAGTGATTATGAGAAGTGTAATCTTCCAAGACCTTTCTTATTTGGGGAAGAGGGGAGGTCCTTGGTTCTCTGATTAATGATGGTTGGAAGTTATCAAAAGACGGTATTTGGTTGTGTTTTAAGTTGCCAAGTTGGAGTGTTTTCTGGTAGGCAGGATGAGTGTCTACTTTGTTCAGGTGGGTGTACAGGCATGTCATTTTCCCTGTCTTCACTGCTACAGGGAAAATATGGTTATGAGATGGTTGTCCTGGGAATCAAAGATCAGAAGGTAAGGGATGTCACTGTGGTACAATCAAAATAAACTATTGTGATTAACTCGCCCGTTGAGAGGGTTTCTGTAGTTTAAATGGTAACTTTTTTCCTATGGCTCTTGTTCATGGGAAAATTGAATCTCGTTTTTACATTCTTTAAGGTGGGCAGTTTAGTTTTGCTGTTGTCATTTGCAAGGTATTTAAGCAAATGCACACATGAATGCTTCCAACTTTTCAAGGAAAAAGTCCATTGAAATATTAACAGTTTATATGGAATCTGGATATGAAATGATTGTGTGGGTACACTTTGTGGGTGTCATTTTCATGTTCCAGTGAATGTCATGTTTCTGTGAACTCTCACCCTTGTACACTTACCTTCCTTTTCTTTTTGGGGTAGTTCAGAAGGTATAAACTGAGAGGCATGCATACTCTGGTATGCTGGCTTAGAGTTTTAACATTTGTAACAGAAGTAACCTATGCTGCTCTGACATTGCTTTCTAAAAGCCCTGTGTCTTGTCTTGTCTTGTCTTTGCTTTGCTTTGCTTTGCTTGTCCTAGGTCTTGAACTCCACCTGGGCACTGACCCTGAGCTTTTTTTTTTTTTTTCTTAATAATTCACACACTATCCACTTGTACCACAGCTCCACTTCTGGCTTTTAGGTGGCTTAATGGAAGATAAGTCTTGACTTTCCTCCCTGGCGCTGGCTTTGAACTGTGATCCTCAGATCTCAGCTAGGATTACAGGGTTGAGCCACACTGGTGCTGGGCTACTGTCAGAGTTTTATTACCTTCACTATCTCTCAATTGATCTTCCATATGACATTTAAGCAATGAGGACATATTTTGGGGGAAAAAAATTAACATTGAGACTTAGGTGATAGTTTTCACAGAAAACCTTAACTCAGATTTGATCTTGACTTTGTTTTGTTGAGAATGATTAGCTGTTGTTGTTGGTTTTTGTTGTTGTTGTTTTGCTCGTTGGAGTGAGGACATAGTAAAGTGATTGAAGCCCAGTGGCTTGGCTTTGAATCTTGCTTTTGTCATTTCCTAGGAGAGAACTTGCCGGGCTTAGCCATAGGGAAAACAGGGATGGTAGTAGTACTAGATGAGTTATTAACACCCTTGAGACAATACCTGGTTTTCCAGAACTACAGGATAGCTTGACACAAGCTGAGCTCCAATGGATTATTAATCTGTGTGTGTATGTGTATGTGTGAAATATACAACCTCAACACTATTTTCAACTTCCTTACTGTGATCTAAGATTGCTTCTCTTCCCCAGTGAAATGAGTGATCAACTGAGTGATTTCGGTTGGAAGAAGATGGTGCTTTCTGTCCTTCCAAAGGTTCTTTTCACATTTATTTACAGTCTTTGCTTTGTTCTGTACCAGAGGGACTGTGGATTGCATAGCCATCAGTGTTTCTTAAAAGCTGTCAGTGTGACTGTTCCCTCTTGGAAATTGTAGTCTTAGTGTTTGGGTGTATGTACCACAATTAGCTTTTGAGACCTCATATGCCCACATCATAGATTTAAGTGAAATTCACAGATAATCTGAAACCATAGGTTATCATCAGTACATCATTAAGTAGAACGTTTGTGCTCTGTGCTAGTAGTTATATGTAGGTATTTTCCATTTTTCATTTTTGTTTTTACTATGTTGTTGCTTTACTTTTCTCAGTGAGCCTTTCCTCCCTTCCTCTTTTCCTCCCACCCTCCCTGTCTTTCTTTCTTCATATAAAGAATAGAAGGAAGGATAAGTCTGTTTATACCTGGTAGGTACTCGTGGTTTGTAAGCTCAGTTCAGGATAATAATGGTTAATGTGGAAGAGGAGAGAACGCAGTGTGGCACACTCACATATGTGTCTGTCCTGTAGGGTGTGTTTAACTGGCATACCTGCATCTGACACTCTCTCCCCTCTCCCCTCTCTCTCCTCTCTCCTCTCTCCTCTCTCTCTTCTCCCCTCTCCCCTTTCTCCCCTCTCTCCCCTCTCTCTCTCCTCTCCTCTCCTCTCCTCTCCTCTCCTCTCCTCTCCTCTCTCTCCTCTTTCCTTTCTCCCCTCTCTCCCCTCTCTCCTCTCTCCCCTCTCTCCTCTCTCCCCTCTCTTCTCTTCTCTCTCCTCCTCTCTCCTTTCCTCTTTCCTCTCTCCTCTCTCCTTTCTCCTCTCTTCCTCTCTCCTTTCTCCTCTCTTCCTCTCTCCTTTCCCCTCTCCTCTCTTCCTCTCTTCCTCTCTCCTCTCCTCTCCTCTCTCTTCTCCCCTCTCTTCTCTCTCCTCCTCTCTGCTCTCACCTCTCTCCTCCTCTTCTCTCTCCTTTCTCCTCTCCTTTCTCCTCCTCTCTCTCCTCCTTTTTCCTTCTCTCCCCTCCTTTCTCCTTCTCTCTCCTCCTTTCTTCTCTCTCCTCCTCTCCTTTCTCTTCCCTCTCCTCCTTTCCCTCCTCTCCCTCCTCTTCTCTCTCTCCTCTCTTTCCTCTCTCCTCCTCTCCCTCCTTTTCTTCTTCTCTCTCTCCACTCTCTCCTCTCTCTCTTGTCCTGAGACTTGAACTCAGAGCCTGGGTCTTTGCTGTTTTGCTCAAGACTAGTACTCTACCAAAGTAGCCACAGTTCTACCTCCAGCTTTTTGGTGGTTAATTGGAGATAATAGTCTCATGGATTCCTGTTGG